TTTTTTTTTTCAACTTTAAGTTAGCGGAGCTAAATATAGCAGAACTTGTTGGTCCTCTGACTGTTTTCAAAGTTAGTGAAAATGCTAACAGAGAAACATCGGTCAACCTAAGGAGAATCAAAGGTCGTTTAGAATCCATCATTCTAAAGAATGTGGGAAACCCAGCTGACAATCTTCACCCTGAAGGTCAGACTGTGCAGTGAGTWTGATCTCTATAAGCCTCAGGCAGCAGTTTAAAGGTCAAAGGTCACGGTGTCTTTGGAAGAGGATTATTTTAATGCTTTGATACATAAAACTGAATTTGGACACATCTGAGATAAATACAAACCTTCTTCCTGGTTCTGTTCTTAACTGAACTCACCTAAGTCCAGGATCCGGTCTCCAGGTCGGTTCCACCTCCACCCCTCCAGCTGCTGGCTCTCCATGTACTGCAGCCGGCGGTCATGGAACACCACGCGCACGATGCTCTGCGGACAAACAGGACTGGATTTCAGGACGGAGGACAGAACCAGTCTGAGGTGTCCTGGTCCGGGTTTTTGACTCGTCTAAASATAAACATCATTTTTCCTTAATTCCAATCAAACTTAACCTTTCTGTGGTTGTTTCTGTCCAGCTGTTATTTTACCAAAATAAAACAAATAATCAGAGGTGTTTATGGACGGAGGCTCACGCTTAACTATGAACCAGAACTCAAACAGTTCTGGGTCAACACATTCCTGCTCCTCCAGACGACGGAGACGTGAGGATAAAATCTGAAAACTGCCTCAGCTCTGAATCCAACACTGGTTTATTAAACTTTCAAAATAAAACACCCGGACTCGTAGTCTGCAGGTAAAGACTGGTTTGGTTTTAAAGAAGCAGATTAATCCCTGCCCTCCCTGCTGAGGGTCATCAGGCTCAGAGGTTTTCATCACCAGATCAATCAGAGGTAAACTGACTGAGTATCAGGCTCAGTGCTCTTGTTTAAAGTTGTTTTTTACATAAACATTATAAAACATAAACATGTAAATAAAAGTAGAACAACAGACAGGAAGTAGAACTCTGGAATTAAAGACTTAGATTTTCAAGGCCCTGTCACACTGTTATGTTTTAGACAACTTATGAAAGGTTTGATGATGAYGATGATGATGAWGATGATGATGATTGGACCTCTACATACTGTAACTCTAATGAGATCAAATTTACAGTCGATATGATTGAAGGAATAAAGTTTAAGCTGTCTAAATGTTTATGACAGGACCTTTAGAGAWCTCAGAAAGCAGAGCCGCGTGGTGCGTTCAGGGACCGGACACAAGCTGGGAAAAATCAGATTTTGAAAAGAAAAAGAGAGAAATAAAACCAAACAGCATGGCTTCACACCTACCTTCACATATCTGCTGCTTATATCTGAAAACTCCACTAGTTTTCTGTTTAGCATGCGGATTYCGTAGGACTGACCTACATTTTAAAACATTAAAAAAATAACCCATTAAAATTAAAATAAAGGACATGAGTGGAGACACAGTCAGATATTAAAGCTCGTCACAGTAAAAAGAGGGTTTCCTGAAGAACTTTACTTCTAAACTTAATGTTTCAGTCAGATGTTTGATCTTTTATTGATCTGTTCAGTTATTGTTTCAGGGAGGAAACATGACAGCTGAAAAAATTTATAAAAGCAAGTTTAAAATGATGAACCTGSTTTATCCAATCAGAAACCAGCTCTATGTTTGGGTTCATGGTTTGGTTGGACCTATCTGTGTCCAACTGGGCAGGGACATTGGTAAACAGGGACTCTGGTGGGCGGAGTCTATGGTGGGTGGGGTCTATGGAGGCGGGGACAATGGTAGACAGGGATTCTGGTGGGCAGGGGCTCTTGTGTTTGAGAACTCTGGTGGGCGGAGTCTATGGTGGGTGGGGTCTATGGAGGCGGGGACAATGGTAGACAGGGATTCTGGTGGGCGGGGGCTCTTGTGTTTGAGGACTCTGGTGGGCGGAGTCTATGGTGGGTGGGGTCTATGGAGGCGGGGACA